CGGCTCAGGTCATGATCCCGGGGTCCTGGGATCGAGCCCCACGTCGGGCTCCCTGCTCAGTGGGGAGTCTGCTTCTCCCTCTGCCTCTGACCCTCCTCCCTGCTTGTGCTCTCCCTCTCTCTCTCTCAAAAAAATAAGCAAAATCTTAAGAAAAAAAGAAGAGTGTGAGGAGATGGGTCTCACCTTCAGCTCTGCCACTAAGTGCGCCACCTCCCGAAAGTCACGTGCGTCACTTTTCCTTGGTTTTCTTGCCAGTAATACCTGCCTTGACCTACACACAGGCTTGTGTATGATGCGAATGAAACCGGGGCTGTAAAATGCCTCTGAAATCACACAGAACACAGCACGAGGGTGCGATACCACCATTTCCTGACTCCGCTGACTGATTTCATTCATTCAGGTCTGGCTTTTGCCGAGTAAGTTAATTCCCTCAACTTTGTTTTTTTCTTCAGCGCCTGTTATGCCAGGCACTGAGGTTATCATGAGGAGCAAGACAGTCCCTACCCTGCGGAGCTTCTAGTCTAGTGCGGGAGGCAGAAAATAAACAAGTACGTCCTATCTAACAGCTGGTTGTTGAAGTGCTATAGAGAAAAATAAGGCAAAATAAGGAGGAGGCAGGCTGAGGAGTTACAGGGAAGGGTACTGTTTTATTTTATTTTATTTTTAAAGATTTATTTATTTGAGAGAGAGAGAAAGAGTGCGTGTGTGGGGAGGGGGCAGAGGGAGACAGAGAGAATCTCAAGCAGACTCTGCTGAGCTCGGAGCCCAACACGGGACTCAATCCCATGACCCTGAGATCGTGACCTGAGCCGAAATCAAGAGTCAGACACAACTGACTGAGCCACCCAGGCATCCCAGAGACAGAGTAGTCGGGGCACATCTCTGGGGAGATGATATTTCAGCAGAGGAGAATAAAGTGAGGGGGCAAGGCCACGTGGCCATCTGTGGGAAGAGTGCCTTAACCTCAGGGGGACAGCAGGTACAAAGGACCTGAGATGAGAATGTGCTCACTGTGTTCTAGAAACAGTAAGGAGGCTAGTGTGGCTTGTAGGTTATAGTAAAGGTGTTGCGTTTTATGCTGAGGGTGCTAGTAGATTGTGGAGGATGGGAGCAGAAGCAGGAAGCAGGAAGGGATATGGCGTAGAAGCAATAGAATGAGAAGAAATGGTCAGACTTAGGTATGTTTTAACAGATTTGCTGATGCAGTAGATGCTGTGGTGTATGAAAGAAAGAGTCAAAAGTTGATGCCAAGGTTTTGGGCCTGAGCCAGTGGGTCAGTCGGGCTCTTGAATTAAAATTGGGAAAATGGGGGAAGAGGAGAATAGGTTTTTGTGGGGAAAATGTTCTTTTTTCCCCCCTCCCTGCTCTTATTTATGCAATTTAGTACTTCCTCTAATTCAGTGATTTCTGATAGAAAGTCATCAGCAGGATTATAAAGAACAGCTGCTACCCCCCCCAAGGTGAGTCTTCCCCTATAAATGAGGAACTCATAATGAGGAACTTCCTCCAGAGTTGGGCCAGAAAGCAGGTTGGACATCATCGACCTACTTAGTTTGCTTGTTTTATGGGTGGGAAGAACAGAGCTGAAGAGGTTGTTGGAATGGCTAGCTGTGGTGGTCTTCTGGTTAACAATTCATTCGTGTGTGGTTAGTTTCTCTTTTCAATTTGATGGTAAACTCTTTGAAAGCAGGAATCATGTCCTTAAAGTCTTTTGTGTTTTCCTTCTTAGCTAGGAGAGTGCTGAGTAATAACAGGCATCATTCCAAATATTAGCTTGAATATAAAACCTAACGGAAAGAAAATCAAGTCTTCCGCATACGCTGATGCCTTTGATCTTACGTGCTCTTGTAGGTAAAGACATATCCATTGCTGAGTTTCCCACTGGAGTTGGGGCATCAACAAAGTATAAACACCAAGGGGAGAGATAGATGAAGTTCAGCCTTGAACTGCCAAACTTCGAAACTTTTCAAACTTCCATGCAAGGAGAGAGGCATCCGGGAAGGACTTTGACTTTGGTCTACTTTGGCCAATCACAGCTTAGCTTACTGTTGCTCTTATATTGAACTATGTGAGTGAGACCAAAACCGTTCTTCCAGTGCTTAGGGCCTTCACAGCTCTGCCTTCAGCCCCGGGAAATCTTTCCTGTACGTCTGCTGGCTCATGTGTGTTTGATGTTAATATTAAACTGTGTCCACATTGTACCGTATTCTCTAATACGTGTTAAATATATATGTAGATATAATTAAAGGCTGTAGTTCTCATTTGTTGTTTTTGAGATTGCTCAATCAGTCTTATTACATCTGTTTTATTTTCTCCTTCAGTAGTTTGTAAAAATGTGCTCTTGGTGTGGCAAGAGCCACCAGTGGGACAGTCCAGCTTTAACTTTGGAGGGACAATGTTGACTGTCTGCGCAGGTGCGGTGTACTAATTTGAGTGGGTATCTGCTCGTAGCTGGTGACAGATGCACTGCTGAGGTTACCCTATGTACCTCTGACCCATTGCACTGGTCTTTTTTTTTTTTTAATGTGTGTTTTATTTTATTTTTTTAAAGATTTTATTTATTTATCTGACACAGAGAAAGAGAAAGAGACAGCACAAGCAGGAGAAGCGGCAGGCAGGGGGAGAGGGAGAAGCAGGCTCCCCGCTGAGCAGGGAACCCGGTGCGGGTCTCGATCCCAGGACCCCGGGATCATGACCCGAGCCGAAGGCAGACGCTTAACCAACTGAGCCACCCAGGCGCCCCCCATTGCACTGGTCTTTAGCACTTGCTTTTTTCAGCGGTCCATACACAACCTCGCATAGGAGTCCTATTTTGAACCAGAGCGGTGCTTGCCAGGAAGTGGTAGAGTCAAGGAATGTGCTTTGTCAACTCGCTCTTCCTTTCCCTTCTCTGATGCTTTCGTCCCCCCATCTTCAGAGTTAGGTGAGGCTGTATGATTATTCTAGGGAATAAATCCGGCATCTTGATGTCTGAGATCCTTGGGGCCCATGAAGTAAAGTAAGGCTTTAAAGAAATACATCTGCCATTTTGACAAGGTGGAAGCAAGTTGTGCTTCTGTTTGGCACATTCGTGCCCTTGAGTAGAGAGGGCAGCCCTGTGTTTAAAATCTTAGTCTAAGGAGTCTTGCTCCTAAGGGTTTCTTTGTCGAAACGTAGCATCTTCTTCTTCTTCTTCTTTTTTTTTTTTTTTGAAGATTTTATTTGTTTATTTGACAGAGAGAGATACAGCAAGAGAGGGAGCACAAGCAGGGGGAGTGGGAGAGGGAGAAGCAGACTCCCCGCTGAGCAGGGAACCCGATGCGGGGCTCGATCCCAGGACCCTGGGATCATGACCTGAGCCGAAGGCAGATGCCTAACGACTGAGCCACCCAGGCACCCCACGTAGCATCTTCTTCTGTAGGTTCCAGAATGCTCGACTAAAAATGAAGTTGATACAGCCCTTTGGGGGTATACTCACTTATTAAAGCATAGTATTTGCTTAGTGTATGCAGTGTAGTGAACGTATAGTATTGTGCCCTGTGTATGCAGTGCGTTAAGTGATAGAATGAGACTAGTTGACATTTGTTGAATGTCTCTTATCTTCCAAGAACTGCATTGAATGCTTTCTACACATTTCACACCTGGTCTCCCGCCCACCTGCCACCACCAGAATAGAAGCAGCACCTGTAACAAAAACGCATACCTTGTCAGGACAGAGATTTTGGTCTTTGTCCTATATTCCATTTTTTCCTCATTCCCACGAATGAGAACAATGCCTACCACATACTAAGTACCGAATAAATGTTTGTTGGTTAAATGGATTATTTTATTTACTCCCCAGCAGCCCTCGGAGGTAGAATTTGCTGTCCAGATTTGCTGGTAGGTGGTGGGGCCAGGATTTGAACCTGTGCTGACAGCTGCTTGCTCTGGGTTGGGGAGCAGCGTAGAGTCCAACCGAGGGTGACTTTTGGTTCCTGCCTTCTATCTCGTAGACATGAGGCTTACCTACAGAAAAGGTTCAACAACAGGGTAGCAGTTATTTCCAGGCAATACGAGAACTGTGCAAAGTGCTAGAGTGATGGAGAGGTGAACGAATGCACGCACATCGTCCGGAGCTGCACTCAACTGCGTGTGCTTGCTATGTGTAACCACTGTTTTGACCGCCACTATGGTTATGTCACCATCATTTTCTATGAATCCCATGAACCAGACTCCCAAATGAATGACTGTTCATTTGTGGGTTGAAATGGCCAGAGATGGTTTCGTGAACAAGATAGTCCTTGAGGCTTAGACAGAATATGGGCAGGTGGGGACAGGAAGGGAGAGACTTGAGATGAAAGTCCTATGGACCGAGGCAGAAAACGTGTGTTTTCTGTTCCTGGGACAGCAAGGAGGCCAGTATGTGTGGTGCAGAAGGGGTGTGTGGGCTACTGGGGCGAGTAAAGATTAAGACTGATAATTCGGAATTTGTTTATTATGTTGTGAGTGCCACATTATATTTGTGAGATTGGATTTGAAACCCTGTATGTGTTTCTATCTGTATGCAACCCAGCCCCCTTTAATAAGAAATTCTGTGGTCATTTTTAAATGCCGTAATCTGTGGTCACAACATTATATCTTGTTGAGAAATAATATATGTGCCTTTGGTGTCACATGGCTTGTGAGACAGACTTTGTCCTAATAAAAAGGCCACTTCTGTTTGGCCTTATGTTTTTGAAATTTAAGACCCTCGTTTATGATTATTGACTCGAGTGTACCTTGGAAGATTAGTAAGGGTATTATGCGCTGCTCTAGTCTCCTTAACAGGCTGTAAGTCTCCAGGGGACCAGGCCTGTACCTCATTCATCCTCGTACCTCTTCCAGCACTGAGCACAGATGCTGGCATAAACTAAGATTGCAGTAAATTGTGCTTGAATTGAATTTTCAAAGCATGTGAGGCTGGCCACCTCTGCACTTGTGGGAGTAATTTGCAGCAGAGCTATATTTTTTGAGTTATGTAACGCATTTAATCTTGTTCCTAGGTCCAGCCTGATGACTGGAGGGGCTAAGCGAGGAGTCCCCAACCCTTGGCTCTTTGAGGAGCCGGAAGAGACCAGAGGTTTGGGTTTTGATGAAATCCGGCAACAGCAGCAGAAAATTATCCAAGGTACTGAACCCCCCAAGAGTGTGGGCCTTTGTCAGATATTTACTGCAGCCTTGAGTGTTCCTTACATCCATTGAAGATCATAGGGAAAGCCATTGGTCCTTTAAAACTCTTGGTGAGGGGCGCCTGAGTGGCTCAGATGGTGAAGCATCTGCCTTCAGCTCAGGTCATGATCCCGGGGTCCTGGGATCGAGTCCCGCATCGGGCTCCTGGCTCAGCGGGGGAAGACTGCTTCTCCCTCTCCCCCTGCCTCTCCCCCTGCTCATGCTCTCTCTCTGTATCTCTGTGTCTCAGATGAATACATAAAATCTTTAAATAAATAAATAATAAAACTCTTGGTGATTTTGTGCCTCACGTCCTGAGGCATATAGACAGATGGTGTCATCCATCCAGGTGGCCCATGGACGTTGTGATTCTCCATGGTGGTTGGGGGGCGGCACTCACACGGCTCCGATTCTCATAGATGGTGTCATCCATCCAGGTGGCCCATGGACGTCGTGATTCTCCATGGGGGGGGGCGGCACTCACATGGCTCCGATTCTCATACAGCCGCGCGAATCCGAGGTGTGTGCCTCCCTCCCTTTACTCCATGAGGGGACTCCTTCTTCAAACACAACGCTCCCACCTTTTTCTTCTACAAAATAAATCCATTTGGCTTTTACCTTCGAGTTTATCTTGTCCAGTGGCTTTTAAGCCTAATTGGTTTTTTACGTTCTTCTCTTTTTTAAATTGCAGAAGTAGTGCATGATTGGTTATGGAAGGTTCAAACAACACAGGGTTGCGTAATGGGGAAAGCTCTCCTTATTGGTTCTCCAGTCTCAAACCGTAAACAGACCAAGCTGTGTTTCCTCGGGCTTTTTTTCTACACACATACACACATGTAAACACACATATTTTTACATCAGTGAGATCATGATATAGGTAATGCCATAGCTTTTACTTTTTTTTATTTAACGTGTGTCATAGACATTTTTCATGTTCCCGTTTTTGTACATGGTTTTCGTGTATTACAGATATGTTATTCTTTCTAATTCCTTTTAAAAACAGTTTTACTGAGATATACTTGACATGTCATAAATAGCACATATTTAAAATGTATGATTCAATAAGTTTTGACATATGTATGACACTGTGCATGTCCTGTACGTTTTTTTATCAGATTTATTCCTAAGTATTTCATGGTTTTTATTCTCTTATTAATGGTATTTTAAAATTTCTACTTCTGATTGTCGCCAGTGTATAAAAGTACAACTGATTTATGTATATTGATCTTGGATCACGCAACCTTGCTAAACTCACTAATTTGTTAAGGGCTTTTTTGTAAAGTCCATAGGACTTTCTTTTTTCTTTTTTTTAGAGCAGTTTTAGGTACAGAGCAAAATATAGTTGAAGGTTCTTTTGCATGTGAATGTCTAGTTGTTCCAGCACCGTTTGTTGAAAAGACTGTCTTTGCTCCATTGTTTTACCTTTGCTGCTTTGTCAGAGATCATTACTATATTTATGTGGGTCCATTTCCGGGCAGTCCGTTCTGTTCTATTGATCTGTTTGTTCTTTCATCCGTACCACAGTGTCTTAATTACTGTAGCTTTAGAGTAACTCTTGAGGTCAGGTAGTGTCAGTGTTCTACTTTTGTTCTCCTGCAATATTGTGTAGGCTATTTTGAGTCTTTTGCCTCTCCATATACATTTTAGAGTCCGTTTGTCAATATCCACAAAATAACCTGCTGGGATCTTGACTGAGGTTGCATTAGGTCTATAAAGTGGGGGGAAAACTGATGTCTTGACAAACTGAGTCTTTCTATCCACATCCATGGAATATCTCTCTTTTAGTTCTTTTTTTTTTTTTTAAAGATTTTATTTATTTATTTGAGAGAGAGAATGAGAGAGAGACAGCATGAGAAGGGGGAGGGTCAGAGGGAGAAGCAGACTCCCTGCTCAGCAGGGAGCCCGATGCGGGACTCGATCCCGGGACTCCAGGACCATGACCTGAGCCGAAGGCAGTTAGTTGCTTAACCAACTGAGCCACCCAGGCGCCCTCTTTTAGTTCTTTTTTGATTCCATTCATCAGTTTACAATTTTCCTCATATAGATCTTGTACATATTTTGTTAGATTAGACCTAAATACTTCATTTTGAGGGATGCTAATATAAATGGTATTGTGTTTTTAATTTCAAATTACACCCATTGGTTGCTGGTTTATAGTCAAGTGAATGCCTTTTGTATATTAACCTTGTATCCTGCAACCTTGCTATAATCGCTTATTAGTTTCAGGAGATTTTTGTTAGTCCTTTTGGATCTTCCCCATTACGTGATCATGTCATCTCCAAACAAAGTTTTCTTTCTTTCTTCCCAATTTGTACCTGTTTTTTCATCTTGTCTTGTCTCATCTAATCGCATCTAGAACTTCCAGGACAATGTTGGAAAGGAGTGTTGGGAGAGGATGTCCTTTCCTTGTCCCTGATCTTAGTGGGAAAGCTTCAGGTTTCACACCATCAAGTGTGATGTTAGTTCTGGGGATTTTGTAGGTATTCTTTATCAAGTTGAGGAAACTCTCCTCCATTCCTAGTTCACTGTGAGTTTTTAATCACGAATGAATGTTGGATTTTGTCAAGTATTCTTTCTGCATCTAGTGATAGGATCATATGATTTTTCCTTTTTGGCCTGTGAATATGATGGGTTACATTAATTGATTAATTTGAATGTTGGACCCGGCATACATACCTAGGATAAATCTCACTGCTTGTGGTGTATTATGTATCGTTGGATTTGATTTGCTAATATATTTTTTGACGATTTTTGTGTCTATTAACATGAGTGCTACTGGTCTGTGTTTTTCTTTTCTTTAATGTCTTTGTCTAGTTTTGGGATAGGACAGTGGTGGCCTCAGAAAATGGCTTAGGAGGTATCCTCTTTGCTTCTGTCCTCTGAAAGAGATCGTAGAGAATTGGTACAATTTCTTCCTTCGATGTTTGGTAGAATTCACCAGTGAGGGGCGCCTGGGTGGCTCAGTCGTTAAGCGTCTGCCTGCGGCTCGGGTTGTGGTCCCAGGGTCCTGGGATCGAGCCCCGTGTGGGGCTCCCTGCTCAGCGGGGAGCCTGCTTCTCCCTCTCCCGCTCCCCCTGCTTGTGTTCCCTCTCTCGCTGTGTCTCTCTCTGTCAAATAAATAAATAAAATCTTTAAAGAGAAAAAAAAGAATTCACCAGTGAATCCATTTGGGCCTGGTGTTTTCTGTTTTGGGAGGTTATTGTTAATTCAATTTCTTTAAGAGATAACAGACCTATTCAGATTGTCAGTTTCTTCTTGCGTGAATGTTGACAGCTTGTGTCTTTCTAGAAATTGAGCCATTTCGTCTAGGTAGTCAAATCTGTGGGCATAAAGTTGTTCATAATATTTCTTTATTATCCTTTTGATGTCAATTAGATCTGTAGTGGTGTCCACTTTTTTCATTTCTGATTAGTCATTTGTGTTCTTTTTTTTTTTTTAGTTAGCTTGGTTAGAGGCTTACTGGTTTTATTATCTTTCTGGTTTCATTGATTTTACTCTGTTGATTTCTTATTTAAATTTCATTGATTTCTCTTATTATTCTGCTTACTTTGGATTTAATTTGCTCTTTCTTAAAAAAAGATTTTATTTGTTTAAGAGAGAGTGAGCAAGAGAGAGGACAAGTGGGGAGGAGAAGGAGAAGCAGCTTCTCGCCGAGCAGGGAGCCCAACGCGGGGATCCCAGGACCCCGGGATCATGACCTGAGCTGAAGGCAGACGCTTAACGGACTGAGCCACCCAGGCGCCCCTGATTTGGTCTTTTTCTAGTTTTCTGAAATGTGGAAAAGACTCTTGATCTTAGACCGCTCTTCTGTTCTCACATATGCAGTCAATGCTATAAATTTCACTCTATGTACTACTTTTGTCATATCTGGCAAATTTAGTTTTGTTTTCATATTCATTTACTGCAAAGTATTCTTAAAGTTACCTTAAGATTTCTTTTTGATCATGTGTTATTTAGAAGTATGTTGTTTAATCTCCATATATTTGGGTGTTTTCCAGTTATCTTTCTGTTACTGATTTCTAATTTAATTCCATTGTAGTTTGAGAGCAGACATTGTATGATTTCTGTTTTTAAACATTTGTCAGTGTATGTTTTGTGGCCCAGAATGTGGTTTATCTGGGTGAATATTCCATGTAAGCTTGAGAAGTATATGTATTCTGCTTCTGTTGGATGAAATAATCTGTAGATGTCCATTATAGCCAGTTGATTGAGAGTGATGGTGAGTTTAACTTAGTCCTTACTGATTTTCCTGCCTGCTGAATCTGTCCATTTCTGATAGAGGGGTGTTAAATCTCAACCGTAATAATGGATTTATCTATTTCTCCTTGCAGTTCTATCGGGTTTTGCCCCATGTCGTTTGATACTCTGTTGTTTAGGCATGTACACATTAAAGATTGTTGTGTCTTCCGGGAATCAACCACCTTATATTTAGGTAATGATTCTCTTTGTCCCAGATAACTTTACTTGCTTTGAGGTCTGCTCTGTCTGAAATTAATATAGCTACTCCTGTTTTCTTTTGATGAGTGTTAGTACAATTTGTCTTTCTCCATCCATTTACTTTTAATCTATATGTGCCTTTATATTTAAAGTGGGGCTCTTGTAGACAACATGTAGTTGATGCTTGTTTTTTGGATCCACTCTGACATTCTTTTTCTTTTAATTATTGTGGTTTTGCTTCTTCATTTCAATCTGGATGCCTTTTATTTCTTTTTCTTGCCCTATTGCATTTGCTACAATATCCAGTACAACGTTGACTAGAAATTGTGAGAGCAGACGTCCTTACCTTGTTTCTAACCTTAGCCGGGGAACATTCATTTGGAAGCCAGGTGTGAATTTTTCTTTTTTTGGTACTAGATGTTTTTGTATTTCTAGAAATATTCTTGAGATTTTTGGGGGGGGTGGGTTGCAGTTATTTGGGTATTATTTTGTAAGGTGAACCAGAACAGTGTTTATTTTAGA